TTATGTATTTAAATTCCATTTTATTTCCAATATCATGTGTTCATATTGCTTTAAAACGATATAAAGTGCCAAAATACCATAAAGCTTTAAATGAGATATGTAAAGTTAGCTACTAGTAACTGGCTACTAGTAACTGGCTATGACAAGTGGGTAAAGTTAGTTACTAGTAACTGGCTACTAGTAACTGACTTAAAATGAGAATAAAGCTAGCTACTAGTAATTTGCTACGACAAGTGGGTAAAGCTAGCTACTAGTAATTAGCTACGACAAGTGGGTAAAGCTAGCTACTAGTAACTGGCTACTAGTAACTGACTTAAAATGAGAATAAAGCTAGCTACTAGTAACTAGCTACGACAAGTGGGTAAAGCTAGCTACTAGTAACTAGCTACTGGTAAAAAACTCAAAATCAGAATAAAGCTAGCTACTAGTAACTAGCTACGGCCAGTGAGTAAAGCTAGCTACTAGTAACTGGCTAAAACATGTCAATAAAGCTAGCTCTAGTAGCTGGCTACTAGAAACTGAATTTAAACGTAGTTCTAGTAACTGGTTACATTACAAATTTTAATTTAAAGAAAAAAATAATGTATTGAATGCCTTTAAAAAATAAATAACAATCTCGTATTTTTGTTTTGCTAGTCAAAATATCTTATATTAAATCATGCTACTTTTGATCTATAGTTGCATTTTAATACTATTGTTGCGTATGCATTTTCAGTTAGTCATATCTTAGAAAAATCGTAAGTGTTCAATTTCTTTTATATATTTCGAAGACATAACTTCCTTCTACTTCTTTTCTTTTTGATTTCACAAACGTTTTTTTTTATTTTGTCACAAGTTGTTTAAAAGGTTTATTGTTCAAAATAAATTTTATATTCTTATCAAAACATATAAAATTTGGTACATTTTGTATAACATAGTCAATAAATACAATGGATATAACAACGTAAATTTGTTTAGTACAGTTTCGTTGAAGTAATTGGGTTCTTTTTAGCTGATATCTACCAATATTGCTAAACATCGATATCCCCTTGGCTTCTCCATATGATCTGGCACTGAATTTACCAAGATATATGTATTGATATCTAAATTAAGCTACTAGTACGTTTTGAGAAATATGAATCATATTCTGGATAAAAGGTTAACATCTTCCAATTTGCAAGAAGCTGGGTATTTAGAGAGCTGATATCTACTGATACAGTTAGTAATATATTTCTTCAAGGTTCTTCAAAGAAAATATGACTGACATTTTACGTTTATTTTTTTTCCATTTCTTCAATTACTAGTACATTTCGTGAGACATACGTAAAGTTTGCGATTCAAATATTAACATCATTGAAGTAACTGGTTCTTACAAAGTTAATATCCAACAGCATTGCTGATGTAAACATCATTGTAGCTTCTCCGCATGATCTGGAAGTAACTAAAATATCTGTAGTGACATCATGCGCGTTTTTGTGACATATGAATCATTATTTGGGTAAAAAGTCAAATACTTGAAGTATTTGGGTATTAAAAGAGCTGATATCTACTGATACAGTTAATAAGAGAATTATTTAAGTTTCTCCACATGACGTATGACTCACGATTTACGATTATCTTTTGTCATCTCTTTAGCTTCTAGTACATTTAATGAGGCATAATTAAAGTTTGCGATTCAAATGTTTACATCATTAAAGTAATTGGGTTTTAACTAAACTAATATCTAACAGTATTGCTGATGTAAACTTCCTCTAAGCTTTTCTACATGATCCGGCACTAAAGTAACCAAGATATCTATAGAGATATACTCAGCTACTAGTACTTTTTTGTGTAACGTAATGCAAGTTTGCGATACAAATTTTGACATCATTGAAGTAACTGGCTTCTTACTTAGCTTATATCTGCTGATATTGTTGATGTAAACCTCCTCTTAGCTTCTCCACATGATCTTGCACTGAAGTAACCAAGATATCTGTAGTGATATCTTTAGCGTAAATCGTCAGTCATGTTTTATGTGGAGAACCTTGAAGAAATTTCTAATTAGCTGTATCAGTAGATATCAGCTCTCTAAATACCCAGCTACTTGAAGGATGTTAATATTTTACCCAAAAATTAATCATATTTCACAAAAAGTACTAGTAGCTAAAGATATCACTACATATATCTTGGTTACTTAAGTGCTGGATCATGTGGAGAAGCTAAGAGAGAGTTTACATCAGCAATATTAGTAGATATCAGCTAAGTAAGAACCCAGTTACTTCAATGATATCAACATTTGTATCCCAAACTTGCATTATATTACACAAAAAGTGCACGTAGCTGAGTATATTACTAAAGATATCTTGTTAACTTCAGTGCCAGATCATTCGGAGAAGCTAAGAGAATGCTTTCATCAGCAATACTTGTAGATATCAGCTTAGTTAGAATCCAGTCACCTCAATGATGGTAATATTTGTATTGCAAACTTTCGTATGCCTCAAGAAATATACTAGTAGCTGAAAAGATAACAAAAGATAAATGTAAATCGTCAGTCATGTTTTATGTGGAGAACCTTGAATGAAATATATGGAGATAACGAACAGTATTCAGGCTCAAAAGTCCATCAAAATTTCTATTTAGCTGTATCAGTAGATAACACCTCTCTTAATACCCAGCTTCTTGAGGCTGGTAACATTTTACCCAAAAATTGATTCACATTTCACAAAACGCGCTAGTAGCTGAAGATATCACTACAGATATCTTTGCAACTTCAGTGCAAGATCATGTGGAGAACCAAACAGGAAGTTTATATCAGCAATATAAGTAGATATTAGCTAAATAAGAATCCAGTTACTTCAATGATATCAACATTTGTATCCCAAACTTGCATTATATTACACAAAAAGTACGAGTAGCTGAGTATATCACTACACATATCTTGGTAACTTCAGTGCCAGATCATCGGACGGAATAGATGTCTTCGAAATTTATAAAAGAAACGGCACACTAAAGGTATTTCTAAGATATGACTAATTCAAAACGCTTACGGAATGATAGTATTAAACTGCAAGTAGAGATTAAAAGTAGCATATTTTAATATAAGATATTTTGACTGGCGAAACAAAAATAAGAGATTGTATTCATTTTTTTTTAAATGCATTTAATACATTACTTTTATTTTCTTCAAATTAATATTTGTAATTTAGCCAGTTACTAGAAGCTATGTACCTTTACTCACATTGCAAGCCTGTAACTAGTAGCTAGCTTTACTCACATGTTGTAGCCAGCTACTAATAGCTAGCTTCATTCACATTTTAAGTCAGATACTAGTAGCCAATTACTAGTAGCTAACTTTACCCACTTATCGTAGCCAGTTACTAGTAGCCAACTTTACCAACTTGTCGTAACTACATGTAGCTACTAGTAGCCAGTTACTAGTAGCTTACTAGTAGCCAGTTACTAGTAGCCAACTTTACCCACTTTTAAATGAGTGTCTGGAGAGCAACAATTTTAATACATTTGGTGTCGCCTTTGGTGTCGGTGGCATCTGTAGATATTGTAGCTAAATGACACTCTTTAAAAATAGATATTCAAACTAATTTTGCAAATATGAAAATCATATCTACTTCCACCTAATTTGAAAAAAAGTGTGCTACAAATGTAAATAAATAAATACACGTGTAAATAAAAAAAAAATTAACAAAACACAAAAGTTGAAACTTTCTTTAGGTAATTATTATCGTAAAATGCCAAGATGAGTGGTAATTTGATAGATATACATAATAATATACATGGTAATACATGGTCCATTAATATAGATCTCTCCGGTTAAGATATCGTAATCAAGAGGGAGAAAAAAAAAACGATTGAATAAGAAACTAAGCGAAAAAGAATATATGTATTTCTTTTCGTTACACGGAATATAATTTAACAAACGTTTTCTTATGCTAAATTGGAACAATAATAAGAAAAATGTCATTTATAATTTCCTAAAGTAAAAAAAAAAGTTTTATTACAATTCTCACGTAAAATCGGTTTAATTTGCTGTAAGTTGCGTCATGCTTCATGCAATTAAACATTCACTAAATTATTTCAATCTTTGTATATGTGTTTTACCGTAAAACATTAAGAGGTTTTCTCACGTTACACCAAATCATTAGTTAACTATAATGATAAAATCATTTGTTGTAGTATTAAGGACTATTTTCCATTTTTGAGGCGAATAAATACTTTATATAAGGATGTGTGAAAGTTTAAACTATAAAGTTTTCTCCATGCATGGTAATACAACCATCTGACGATAATTTACAAAGAGGAAAAAGATATGTGTTGTTAAACTGTCGACCACAGGATAAAGATCTTTCTTTTATTAAAATTACAGAGAGGTGAACCTCTGCTGTGCAATGTGTCCTAGGGATATATCAAGGAAGATAAGCATCAATTTATAAGCCATTTCATATATACATGGTAAGAAAACTTTAAAATCCTGATGTTTATTTATATTTTTAATTTACATTGCATCAGTAATAATCAAATTTGCAGGTAACTAAATTAAGTCAATTCCTTATTCAGATGATATTCCTTCGCTAATATCCTCCCGAGACATGAAAAAAAAATTGCAGAAATCATGAAAAGAGGGAAAAACCCATTGGCAAACATCTATCATTTTGTTCAGAACAAGACTATAAGTTAAACTGCAATTAAATATCACGTACATATTGTCAATTGACAAATTCTAAATCTAAATGGTAGTGTTCGAAAGAGGATCAAAAGAAAGAAATGCACATACAAAAATTAATTAGAGCAAAATAAATATATTTTATTTAAAAAAAAAAATTTTGTTTTTTTTCCACATCATTCATTTTTCTAAAAGACATTAATTTTTTCCCCCTTTCCTATTTCCCATTTATGTATCTAAAGTTCTAAACAAAATGATGATAATAGTAGCTATATCAAAATATTATAATGTTGGGTTATAAGACAAAACACCTTTTTGATAAAGGCATCTCTTGGCATTTTTTCTTTTCCTATTTGTAGACACAATGATGAATTCAAGTGGCAGAGCTGTTGACACACAGAACATCCAGTATGATCCAGTAGACGTTGGTACCAAACCCTCCATTGTATTTCTTGTCTTTCTCATGGTCATTGGTACTGTAGCCAACGGTCATGTTTTCGGAATCTTTCTTTATCGTTATAAAAGTAGGTCAACATATGTCACCTTCGTTCTTGCCCTTGCTTTAATTGACCTGCTCATCTGTGTTTGTGATCTTCCATTAGAAATATTGGATCTGAGTTACCCGTATAACTTTTTTAGTGAGGTAGGATGTAAACTTTACAAGGTAGTGAGTGCAACATTGATTTTAAGCTCTGTATTTACTTTGACTCTCTTGTCACGTGATCGTTTTAAAAGAATTCGCCATCCTTTAAATCCACAATGGTCGAATTCCACATGTAGACGGTATATAGGAGCAGTGATATTGCTATCATTCATTCTCTCTGCTCCTGTAATTTACATCCATGGTCTACATGTGGTGAAAATCTCTGACGGTACTGAAGTCGAAAAGTGTTTCTTTGAAGACGACATTGACGAAAAATTAAACCTTCCTTTAATACATCTCTCTGTAATTTACCTGATATTCATTGTATGTTTGCTCATTCTAATCGTGAATTATACTTGCATATGGATCACTGTTTATCATCGCAGAAGGTTGTTCCAACGAGCAGGCAATAAAAGAGAAACGTTATCAAATGTCAGCAATGAATTTCGAAATTTTTTACCTTCATCTGCAGTTACTGGAGGTCCTGATCAGGTCGTCTCCGAAAACCCTTTAGGCGATTCAATAGAAATTGACTTGAAACAGAGAAAAATCGACAATATTCACAATTTCAAGGGAACGAGGAAGGTTTCCGGAAGATTAAGATCAATGAATGTGGTACCAAAAATTCAGAAGAAGAGAAAAGTGTTACTTGGCAATCATCGCTCAACAGTTATCATGTTTATTATAACTTCCATCTTCATTTTCGTCTTCCTACCTTATCTTGTGCTAGGGGTATTTTTATGTTTAAAAGAAAACTTTAAAGATAACATGAACGAGGTAGAATTAAGTGTATATCGTCTTTCGATGCGACTCATGTTTGTTAACAACATTGTAAATTGTTTTGTGTATGGTATTTTCGATCCCAGATTCAAAAAGGTCTGTAAAGAATTTTATAAAACTTGCTTCTGATTTATCAATTTAGAAATGTATATCCATGTATAATTATTCAGAATATTACTCAGATTTTAGAAGTATAGCTTCCTTAGTAACTGTATATTTAAAAAAATTAAAATTTCCAAAAACGATCGGGATGATGTCTTTAATTATACCCTTTGTTTAGAAATAAAATGTACACAAATCTATCTGCATTTGTCCATGTTTAGAACCCTACCCGCATTCTTGGCTTTTTTAAGACATGAAAGGAATATTGCAGATTATTTTTAAATTATTTGAGAAATCCAAACCACTTACGGAGAAAACACAAAAAGTGAAGATAAATTTATTTTGTTAACTTCTTCGCCTTAACTTACTTGGCCCAAAATTTTTTGATCAAAAATTTTCTGTTTCTTTCTGCATGTCAGTTATCAGTTTAAAATTTTAAATACTTCAACTTTAATTTTTACCAAACTAGCAGAATCCATTTTTGGCCAATTAAAAAAAATATGTAATGGAGAGTCACGACTCTTTTTCAGGGAGAGATAATTTGCAACTAATGAAAATAGGGTGGAGATGAAAGTTTAACAAATATATTCGAATTAATTGTAAAATCTTCTTCTCAAGAGTACAAGAACAATAATAAATCATGTAAATATGTCTACATCCCTAATTTTTGTTGACTTTTGACTGTAAAGCAGAATTAACTTTCTGTTTGTTTGTTTTTTTTTAAATAATTCTATGAAAATTGTTCCATCTTATGATTGTATATATGTTCTTTTATTACAATAGCATATCAAGATTTCAAGCAGTTTTAACACTCAAAGAATCTAGAAATATACTTATTTTTGTTGCATGAATAATTCATGGTCTGCAAGCTAATAATTTTCCTTTATGTATTATTTTAACGCTAAGGGCATTGATTTTGTTTGAACATATTTCATTGTAATTCATGATAATCAAGGGATTAATCACAAGTTCTGGAAACTTATTACGCCCCCTCCATAAATGCTAAAGGCGTTATTTAACGCAGTACTTTTAATTTTCTCTTATTTAATACAAACTAAATGTTTTATTTTTCATTAAAATATATCCTCTTAAATATATTTTATCCTAAACAGAAGTTTTTTTTTAATATTTTGACACCGTGTATTTATTACATATCTGAAATTTCAAATATTTGTGGAGTGTATATGCTTCTCAAAGAACTGAAACACACAAGGCTTACAGGTTAAAAATAGTTTGACCAAAAATTGTTTACTTGTATATCAGTTTTGTTAATCATTTATGCATGTAAATTCCTATATCCATAAACAAATACCAAATTAAGTCTTTAAGAGCATGGGCCAAAAAGTTTAGAAAAATTTCGAAACTGAAAAAAATCAAACCCTTAAAAGTTTTCTTTTAAACATATACACCATTACGCTACATTCTCATAAGTATTGAAAGTATCCATTTATGAAATACTACGCAAGACTGAACAAAATTTTGATATATCTAATTTTCTACAATATATAGAATTCTTTCGTGTACAGGTAGGTATGTCTTTGTTCCTTTTTATTGGCTCTGTATCTTCAAATTGCTAGTAAAACCTCAATTTGTCGATTTACGAAAACATAAGGCAGAACCTGTTTTATTCCTTTATGTTACATAAAAAATTGAAGTCCCGTCATTCCGGGTCTTTCACAAACTAGATTTAATGTCATTAATGAATTGAATGACAAATTGGTCAAAGTTTGTGTCTCACCGACGAAAATGAAATGCAGTTATTTCTTGTTGTTCAGGTTCAGTTCGAAAACTGTTATTTCTTTTTCCATTCTAAGCATTGTTTAAACCAGTTTAATGCCCTTTGAATGATAAAAACATAGAAAGAAAGACAAAACGCTAAAGTGAAAAAAAAAATTAATTTGAATCTGTGCAATGGAAGATTCAATATACCTAGGGCATACTTCCCCAGACATTAATTAATAGTTTCTCTTATTTTTATTACATGACTATATATACATGTATGCAATAAAATGACTAAAAGTCCTACTGAGTAGAGGAAAAAAAATAGAAAAGTTGAAAAAAATAATACATTTGGAACGCTTCCTGCTGATTTGATTACTCTACTCCTTATCTAAATGTGTACAATGCATATTTTGTAAAATCAGAATATTTATTAAAAAAAATCAATACAGAGACTGATGCTTTAAAAATGTGGTAACAAAACCGTTATGAAAATTAAAAAAAAATGGTATCCCCTTATCTATGTCGTGTATACTGCAAATTTGAAAAATCAGATTAAATTTAATTACATTAAAAATATCATTACAGAGACAGATGCTTTATAAAATGTGGTAACAAAACCTTTATGAAAATTAAAACATCAATGGTACAAAAGAGGTAAAACAAACTATGGAAATGTTTTTATGCCCCCGTATCGAAGATTCGGGGGTATATAGTTTTTGCCCTGTCCGTCCGTCTGTCTGTCTGTTTGTCCGCAAGAACTTTAACATTGCCCATAACTTTTGATTGTTTGGAGCTATGACTTTCATTTTTCACATGTGTATTCCTTGTGACTAGGCCTTTCTTTGGGTACTACCATATTTGACCTTTTGACTTTGAACTTTACCCAACTTTAACCTTGGCCATAACTTTTAAACAATTGGTGCTAAGGCTTTCATACTTCACATGTGTAATCCTTGTGACAAGACCTTCCTTTGGATACCAATAACTTTGACTCTTTGACCTTGGAGTTTGACCTACTTTTGAAAAACTTCATACTTGGCCGAATCTTTTGAAGCGTTGGTGCTAGGGCATTCATACTTGACATATGTCATCCTTATGACAAGACCTTCCTTTGGATACCAACAACTTTGAACCTTTGACCTTGACCTTGGATTTTGGCCTACTTTTGGAAAACTTTATTCTTGGACATAACTTTTGAAAAGTTGGTGCTAGGGCTTTCATATTTAACATGTTTTTTTCCCCTTGTGACAAGATCTTCCTTTGGATACTAACAATTGTAATCAATTGAACTTGACCTTGGAGTTTGACCTACTTTTGAAAAACTTTAACCTTTTCCAGTTTATTTAAAGGTTGCTGCTAGGGCTTTCATATTTCACAGGTATATTTTTCGAGACAAGACCTTACTTTGGGTACCAACATTTTTGATTTGCATTTGAGAAAGTTTAATCTTTGCTATAAGTTGCCATACGGAGGCATCAGTGTTTCACAAACACATCTTGTTTGGACTTGTATTTGTTGAGTTGCTGTAAAAGGGGCTGCTTACTTCTCAATGGCACCTGATCCACCTCAGAGGTCTGTGTTAAATAGACTTGAGTAAGATCACTGTTCGTTTTCTTCAAATTTCATTTTGCAAATTCTGTGATCGTTATAATGACCTTGTGTATAAAAACAACCTATCATTTGGTCTTTAAGCCAAGTAGAATCTAGACTTTGATAACCTTAGGTCAATTAGATTTTTATGAAAATTTCAACAATTTTTCAGTGACAACAGGCATAAAATACACTTTTCATTTTAAAAACTGTTTTAACAGTACGCTTGAGCTTGAGAAAAAAAAAACAACCCACAATTATGCCTAACACTTTTAAAATAAATGTGTTTTATCCTTGCAATAACATTTTATAACAGTTTTCGATAACACAAGATGACACACATAAAAGTTATAACATTTAAATATTTTTTTTAAAAAATTGAACAAAATACTTATGAACGAAAATGAAATATTGAGATTATTACATTTGCAAAATGTATTAGACATTCATCGATGATTTATGCTAAATATCAGGTATGTGTATGGATTTCCTAGTCGGGTTCTTCTATACATCTACAGTTTTGTTTCCTTTTGTTTCTTTGTTTGATGAATTTCGAGAATTTTTCACTCATAGTGAGACGCCACCAATTGCCGTTGGAGGGCTGCAAACTTAGACCTGTACTCGGCACTTACAGCATTTGAGCAGTGAGGGATTTGGGCCTCAGTCTCCTTGTCACACAGTGGATTCGAACCCGCGATAAGGATCATCTCCTTACTCTCTGACTATAGAGCAAACGCTCTAACCACTGCGCCTCGTGGGCGACTTTTGCTTTCTAGACAAGCGTTTTTATCAAACAACGAAAATGACTATGAATAGTTATGATCTGGATTTATGTTTCAAAGTTCAAATCAGACGGAAATTAAAGATATGAATGACTGCAATTTAGGTTAATAGATTGACGAAGAGCTGGCATACATTTCGACTCTGAGATCTGAAGATTGGCTCATAACTACATAAACCAAATTTAACAAGTATATTATCGATATTGCATGTACAGTATACGGTTGTATCGGTATACCTTACATTCAGAGTTACTTTTTATTTTCTAAAGATAAACTGTGTTTCCAGAAGAACTTTTCTCAAATAGATTTTCAGATAATCTTATCCAGAATTCAAATAGGTATCTCTTTACTTCTGCAGAATAGTACATTGTTATTTGTCTTACGGGGCACCTGAACTTTTCTGGATCCGCTGAAGATATTGTATGAAAGAAAAAAAAAGATCGAATAAAGAACTAATTATAAACGATATAGGACACGATATGTTTCCTTCTTTTGAGAACAGGATTTAACTATTTTTCATTCACACTTTATTTCAAATAATAAAACAATTTAACTAAATATTATTTACCTATAAAGTAAAAGAAGTTAAACTGCATTCCCACGATAAAAACGGATCACAAGCAAGAAAATTGCATCATCCGTGTGTGGGTACTGTGGATACTTTACTTTACACTGCCTTTAAATATCAGTGGAACTTTTAATATTAAAGGTACATTTAAACCTTTTTAAATGTATTAAACCATAAAAATAAAGAAGGTTTCTTACGTTTCATAAAATCATTAAGTTAAAATAATGATAAAAATTATTCTTTGAAATTTATGATATAAAAGGCAATTACTAATTCTTAATATGAATTAACTGTAAATGAAGAAACGTAAAAAGTTAAGGAAAGATATATTAGTCTCTGATAAGTGTGGCAATACAACCAACTGC